CACCGCCCGGAGCCCCCGGCCGCGCGGACCTGGCCGAGCCCGCAGGCTGCGGACGGCGCTGGGTGTCGGAGCCCGAAAGCGCGGGGCGCAAACCTCCCGGGCACTGGCAGAAGCCTTCTGCAAGCTTCCTCGCGGGAAAGCCGGTTGTCCTCACGCCTCAGTCTTCAGACCCACCTTGTGAGATTCGGTTCTCTGGAAAACGTGCGCCACTCCCTTCCACGGCCCAAATGCTTTCTGGATCTGGCCGGCCACTTACTTCCAGGCCGCTGCCCTTCTCCTTCCCCGTTCAGCCACCCGGCCTCCCCGCCCCTCGCCTCCTGCCTGGTCTCGGTAGGCCACCCTGGCAGAGTACTGGGTACCCTGTGCTCGTTCCCACTCTCCTTTGTACAACTATTTCCTTTTTTAAAAAATAATTTTATTGGGCCGGGGAGATGGCTCAGTGGAATAAGTGCTTCCCTGGCAAGCACAAGGGCCTGAGTTCAATCCCCGGTTCTGAAAAAAAAAAAAAAAAAAAAAAAAAAAAAAAGATTGAAAAACAAATAGCCATGAGACAGTTTAAAAACCGATTGCTAGCACAGTTTCAATAATTAATACATTGCATATTGTTGTCTCAGTGGTTATTCATTGTACAAGATGCAGACATGATATCCTGTCCACAAACACTATTAGAACAAATCTATTCATTGAATTAAGAAAATGCAGCTGTATATCTATCCTATTTTGAATATACAGATACAAATGGTCATTCATTTGTATTCCCCTATTTTGTTTAGTTTTGTCAGAGAAAAGTATTCATTCCATTGTCATTTAAATATTGTAGGTGCGTTAATTCGGCAAAATATTCCAATGTAGTTCAGTAGTCCATAATAGTAGTGGGTTTTCTGTAGGACTGGCAATGTCAGGAGTTGTTGACTTGAGCCTTTTACAGCTCAGCATAATATGACTTTACATTTTATACTTCGTTTTTATACTTTTCTGCTGGATGGTTAAGACCAAGATAAAGCAAGATAACAAAAAATATATTTAAAAATTTTTTTCTTCATATTCTGTAGGGACTTAAAGATTAATATATCAATACTTGATGGAAAATACCTGTTCCACGTTATGCCTAAGATGTTTGATATTCAGACAGATAGTGAGGTTAAGCTCAACTGCCTATGTTGTAGGGTAATAATAATAAACTTCTCTTATGGAGGGTTAACGACCTAAGTTTGCAGACCAAAAATTAGAGAAAAAGAAGGGCTGCAAGGACAGCCAACATTTTGGCCCTAGCCTTTCAAGGTCAGTGAGGACTCAGGACATAGGAGAACCTGTACTGTAACATCATGTAACTCAATTGCGCTCCAAATTTTCTGATCAAGGAGATTATGGGGCCAAAGAGGAACGTGATCTATGATGTAGAGTGTGCCTAAGGAGTCACTTGGAGAGAAAACATTCTCTCAGGCTTTCACAGAGAGCAAATTGGTCAAGCAATGGCTGCGACTCATCCACATGGCTGACACTGACAATGGATCTTACTGACAAGGTTACAGGATAAAAACTATTTCCTATTGATCCTTCTAACCTCAGTTCATACTTAACCCCACCGTGAAGCCTGATCTACCTTCCCAGATAACACTTTGGTGTCCCCTTTTACTCAGTCTCAGAGTTTTCTTTCTTTTTTCTTTTATTTTCAGAGACTCACTATGTAGTCCAGGCTGGCCTCAAGCTGCTGACCCTCCTGCCCAGCCTCCCAAGTGCTGGTGTGTCAGGCCTGCATCGCTACACCTACCTCAGATCTTCTGTCCTTTTCTTCCACAGCTTGTTATTGCTTGCTATGAATTTGTGTTTCCCTAACTGACTGGTAGCTGGCTCCTCTGCTGGGTCATGAGAGTCCCCGGGCAAGAGATGCATGTCTTCGCCTCACCTTGGTAGAATAGTCTCAGCACACTGCATCAAGTTTTGACTTTTTGTTTGTTTCTATTTTGAGACAGGGTCCTGCTATGTAGTTCAGGCTGAACTCAAACTTACTCTGTTGCCCAGCATAGCCTTGAACTTGCAGGGATCTGGTCCTCCTGCCTCGGCCTCCCCAGTGCTGAGAGTACAGGTGTGTGTCACCATGTCCGGCATGCCTGCGTCAGCCAAGTGTCTAAGTGATTGAATAATAATAACTGACATGGATTACGCACCCAGGGACACGTCAGGCACTGTGAAAAAGCTCTTGAGTGGTCTCATTTAATTCTTGTGGCACTTACAAATTTCTTTTTCTTTCATTTTACCAACCAGGAAACCACGGAATAGGGAGGGCATGTACTGTCCCAGCAGTCTGCGGTCACGCTGCTGTCTCTCTCTCTCAGGCAGACACGGCAGGCTAAAGCTCAAGCCTTCTGTGCACAACCTGAGCAAGACGAAGCAGACCAAGCTCACCGTGGGCAGCCTGGGCCTGGGCCTGATCATCATGCAGCATGGCCCCTACCTGCAGATCACCCACCTCATCGAGAAGGGGGCTGCAGCGAGAGACGGCAAACTGCAGCCAGGTGACTGGGGCTGCCCGGCCTCCCTTCAGTCGGGGCGGCAGGTACCAAGGCAGAGAACCACAATGATGGGACGCCACTGGCTATCACTGGCTACCCTAAATCTTTATTTATTTTTCCATTTTAGGGAAGGGTCTACAGGGTATTCAGGGCCTCACTACTAGGTCAGACTCATAGTGATCTACCTATTTACAGCCTCCCAAGAGCTGGGATTACAGGCGAGCGCCACCACACACAGTCTTAATTGCCTTTTCAGTGCACTCCTGGGGTGGGGTCAGCAGGCAGGCCTGGGGATCGAACCCTGGCCCCTGAGCCTGCTTGCGGGCACTTTAATCTGCTGAGTTCTTTGGCTGGCCCTCTATTTTTGTTTGTTGAGACAGGGTCTTACTAGGTATCCCAGGCTGGCCTCCCACTCACAAGGATCCTCCTGCCTTACCCTTCTGAGTGCTGGAATTACAGGTGTGTGCCACCATGCCTGGCTAGACTGGTTTTTTTTTCTGTTTTGTTTTTTGTTTTTTAATAAGAATAGGCTGGCCAGATAGCTCAGCAGATTAAAGCGCTTGCTTAGGCAGATGAAGGGGCCAGGGCTTTGATCCCTGGGCTGCTGTTCTGGCCCCGCCCGCGGGGGCACCCAGAGCTTGGGAGGCTGAAAACCAGGAAGGATCACTACAAGCTTGACTCTGTCGACCCTGCACTAAATGCATAAAAATAAATAAATAAAGCAATAAATCATTGTGATAACTGTGGTAGCACCAGCCTCTATTCTCAGCACTCAGGAGGCTGAGGCAGGAGAATCACCATGAGTTTGAAACCAACCTGGATTACATAGTGCGTTCAAGACCAGCCTGAAGTACAAAGCAAGACCTTGTCTCGAAAACAAAAAGACTCCTAGGACCCCTGGTGTCTATGAGAAGCCCCGGGGAGCGCTGCCAGGCCATTCACCAGCCCTGGGCCCACCCTGGTTCAGCTGGTGTGGGTTGACGCTAGGAAGGTTCTTGATTTAGAAGCTTCTCTGGCACACCCATTCTGGACCCCTCCTGTCTCTCAGGAGCTGTTCTTAGTCCCCAGTACTTTTCCTGCTCTTAAAAATAGACAGACGACAGACAGAAGCCCAGGAGATGTGCAGCTGGGGTTCAAAGCCCCAGAATTAAATGAGGTGGATAAGCAATACTATTAGGAATCAGTTTGCCTTACCTTAAAAGCAGACGGATTTTCTCTGCATTTCACCATAGCGGAAGATGCCCTGCCCCAGCCAGGACCCTTCAGTTTGTTAGTTACCCCGGCGACAGTTGCCGTGCAGTTCCTGTGACTTTTTCTTAGAAATGGCTGGTGAGTGTGATACGTAGCTGTCCCAGGTGACAAGCCCTTCTGCCCTGCACTTCCTGCTTGCTGATCCCACGTAAGCCCTAACCCAGCAGTGATGCAGGTCTGACCTTCTGATTTCTAGTCAGCGCCGGGCTGGCATTAAATAATTCTGCCCCCAAATCCTGGGTGTCATTCCTGCACATCATTGCACCCCTAGGTGCTGAGAGACAAACCGCCAGGACAGTTCCAGAGCCCCCAGATTCTGCTCATTGCTTTCTGTCACGGTGACCAATGCCTGAGAAAGCTTGTAAGGAGGATGTATTTGCCGTGGCTCCTGGCTTCAGACTGTGGTGCGCTGTCTCTGTTGCTTTGGGCATACAGAAGGTAGCACCCTGTGGCAGAGGAAGACCTTCAAGGGCCAAGGAAGCAGAGAGGGGAGGAGGAGGGCTGGGGTCCCCACCCCTCCCAAGGGGGCTTCTCCCAGGGACTCTGCTTCTGGACTCTAGGCCCCACCCCCTCAGGATTCTACCACCTTCCAGTGGGCCATTGTCTGGGGGCCAGACCTTTGACACATGAGCCTTGGGGGACACCTGTCCCAACCACAGCCCAGACAGTGAGAGCTCCAGGCTGGTCTTGTGGGCTGTTCTGCCTTCCCAGCCTCGCTGGAGCCGGATGACCAGTGTGGTCTCTCCAGGGTGCTAGAGTGAGACCCCGCTAGGCTCTTAGACATCAATTTCATTGATGCTGTGGTTTCCAGTACTAGCCGTACATTACGCATGTCCAGGCCAAACAAGCTTGTATAAAGCACCCCCTTGATATCTTCACTTTCGCATATCACAGATTTCTCAAACTCATTAGCTTAAGATGGAAAGCCAGCTCACTGGTGGTGACAGATACTGGGTTAAGCCCGAGACACAGATGCTCAAGGCTGGACCATAGCTCGTGGGCTCCTGGAAGGCAGAGGCTGGACTGAATTCATCTTTGAAATACAGGAATTACCTACAGTCCTGGCCCATTTATTGCCTTCGTGATTAGTATGCAGACAGAAAGTGAGCATCTGTCCCAGGCTTTGTACTAGGTGTTTCCATGAATAATGTGGACTTTGATGTCTGCATCGTTCCTGGAATGCAGATAATCAATACAGACGCATAGAGAGATGACACAATTTGTTCAGTATACACACCTAAGTCTGGGATCAGACCTGGGACTTGAACTCATGTCTGCCTGGAAACCCCATACCTTTCAGGCAGTTGCTTAATAACCAGAAGTGATATTTTAATACAGGGAGTCCAGCGCCGTGAACCCCCTGATGGTAAGGAAAAGTCTGCAAGCAGCCTTCCTGACAGCTGCCAGGAAGAGACGGGTGGTGCCAGTTGAGGACACCTGCCGTTTCTCTCATCTTACCGGCTCGAGCTGCGTTCTTTTTCCACCATGTGTTTTTTTTTTTTTTAATTTTTTTATTTTATTTTATTTATTTGAGAGACAGAGAGAGAGAGAGAGAGAGAGAGAGAGAGAGAGAGAGAGAGAGAGAGAGAGAGTGTGGTGTGTGTGTGTGTGTCCAGCTCAGCCCACCAGGGGGCGGGACTGGCTGGCATGTGGTGCTGGGGGATTGAACCGCGGTCCCTGATGCTTTGCCAAGCTTGTTCTAAGTAGGTGCTTTAGACCACTGAGCCATCTCTCCAGCCCCCACCATGTGTTTTTGAAGTCATCTTCTTTCGTATTTCATGATGGGATTGTGTATTGATTTTCTTTTTTCTTTTTTCTTTTTTTTGTATTTTAGGGAAGGGTCTTCAGGGTCTCACTACTAGATCGGACCCGTGACCTGCCTGTTTACAGCCTCCCAAGAGCTGGGATTCCAGGCGCGTGCCACCACATCTGGTCTTCATATTGATTTTCTAGTTTAGTTCCATGCTAGTTTATTCTGGCTCGGTTTTAAGTTCTTGGCCAGTGTGGCTTCAATAGGCTCTGATGTCCAAAGTCTTAAGAAATTAATATAGTTTTGTTCATTTAGCATTTCTTCAGGGTCTGCTGTGTGCAGACCCCCGGGGGCAACATGGCTGTAGTGGGGAGCCGAGGAGATGGGGCTGCAGCCACACGGACCTTATGTAGGCAGGGATGGAGAAAAAGAAGTAAGACCTATTTTTCTGTAGTGGTGTGGCTGCTGCAAAGTTGATTTAATGTAGGTAACTGAGACAAAGTTTATATAATGTCATCCCTACAGCCCATTAAGACAGAAAAAAGACATAATGAGGTTGTGTTCATAAATATCAAGCTGGTATCTCTATGAAGGGTGACGCTAATATCTATTTGCTAGAGTAATTACATTGCTACGCTGACACCTTTGGTTTACAGCCAGAGGGGCCAGGGAATTAAGCTGTTTATTTTCTACTCTCTTGATAAAAGTCACCCTTTTACAACATAATTAAGCAGAAAGCCAAGCCCTAGCTCTCAGCTATAAACACTGCTTTTTGCACTGGGCAAGTGTGTCAGCCCGAGGAGGATTCCCGCCACTGTAAAGCTGTTTCACACCGTGCAGCCTGCGGCCAGCTGGGAGAAGCCCCTCACCCTGGTTAGCTTCAGGGCTGGAGTTGATTTTTTCCCCCCAGCTACTTGTTGAGACTGAGGTGGAGGTTTTGCTCCATCCTCCCAAGTATTCATTTTCTGCAGTCATGGAAATTTGTTTCTGATAGGATCTAGCACTGTGGGACTCTGTCCGTGGCATTCTTTGAGTCTTGTTTTTTGAGACAGGGTCTCAGTATGTAGTTCCAGCTGGCCTGGTACTCACTGTGTAGCCCAGGCTGGCCTCAAACTCATGGCGATCCTCCTGCCTCAGCCTCCTGAGTGCAGGGGTTGCAGGCGTGCACCACCATGCCCGGCCCCATGGCATCTTTGGAAACTTCGTTGGGCATCAGTGCAGTTTTGTACCCCATTAGGGTGTAGTATCGGAGAAAGGTGCTTTCAGTCCTTCTCTCCTTGAAGCTGGGCTTGAACTGCCTCGGCATGATGGTGATTTGGGGTCCCTAGTTTCCCACACAGAGCGGTGGACCCATCCTTTATAACTACATCTGATGCTAGGACCCAGGTCGGCTATAAATCCCTGGTACCCTTGGGTAGGACATCAGTATTAATGAGCTGTGATGACTACAGTCTTGCCTAAAACAGGTCTCTCCTTGACAATCAAATTTTTTGTATTCCTTCCTCAAAGCCTTTTCTGAATGCAAGTAGCATTCAGGGCTCAGCCTCGCGAGCAGCACAAAGCAGTCCTGTTGAGGCCCTGAATTTAGGATGGCAGGTGTGACAGGGTTGCCAAAGAGCTGTAGGAGCAGGCTTGGGAAGTGGGGAGGGCGGGCAGCGGTCGCCCCAGCATCGCCTGCTGCAGGTTCAGTGACCCAGAAGGCAGTGCTGGGGGCTGGGTCTCCTCTACAGGTCGGGGTCCTGCCCCGGGGGGTGAAGTGGGGGTGTTGGCAAGGGTGAGCGCGGGTCCCTGGCCTCTGCAGCTTTCCCACTTGGGAAGTCGGGTTATTTGCTGTCAAGACAGTGTCTCCTCCCCACCCAGGCCCACCCTCATGCAGGGGCCAGCTGTCAAATGCCTTTGAACCATGTACCCTGTGTGGTTCCAACAAATCCTGCACAGGAGCTGGAAATTACATGAAAGGCTTGATGTTTAATGCAGGCTGCTTGCTGCGATGGCACTGGAGTTGCCAGGCAGGGATAACAGAGAGCAGGTCATTCACCAGTCACTTGGTCTAAGCTGGTTTTTGTTTTTTTTTTCCAGTAACAGTCATTTTCTTTGAAAAAATATACTTCTAGAATCCTAAAGGATGGTGCGGGGTGTAAATGGCTTTTAGCCCATTGCAGGAAGAATGTCACAGCTGTCTCAAAAGCATACAGTCATGTTTTTCCATTACACTGCAAAGGGAAGGAGCCTGCAAACATTCCTCATTATGCAAAGGACAATGAGGCCAAAGAGATGAACTCTAATTTTTATTTATTTTTTTGGTGGAACTGGGGATTGAACTCAGGCCCTTGCGCTTGCCGGGGAAGCACTTATTCCACTGAGCCATTTCCCCAGCCCCCTAATTTTTATTTTTTTAATGGTATGTGGAGAATTGAGCCAGGCAGTGCTGAGCGACTTCTCTAGCCCTTTTTAAATTTTAATTTGAGGCGGGATCTCACTCAGTTCTCCAGCTCAGCCTTGAACTTGTGGTCCTCATTTCTCACCTCCCATCAGGCGCCACAGTCCTGGCCAAAAGGAACATTTTAATAAAAGCGGAAGACTAGTTTTGGTCCACAGTGAAGTACCTTAGAATAAAGCCGAAGTCGACACGGTTCTCTTCAACCCATTATCTTAGATTTACGCATAATATTTTCCCTCCTCCAGGTGATGTTCTGATTAGTGTTGGTTATGCCAATGTGCTGGGTTATACGCTTCGGGAATTTCTAAAGCTTCTGCAACACATCACCATAGGAACAGTGCTACAAATTAAGGTTTACCGGGATTTTATTGACATTCCCCAAGAGTGGCAAGAGATCTGTGATTTAATTCCTGAGAGAAAGCTCCCCGTAACATTTAGGTAAGTCATTTGGGAACTCTGCTATACCAGCACTAGGGGCTGTGAACCCAGGGTCCTGGCTACTGTCGGATGGCAAGGACCACAGGAGGAGGGCCTGACGTCAGATCTTTGGAAAGGTTCGAGGCAGCACACAGATGGGGCTGGAGCAGCTGGCGCTCGAGGGTGGGCGGGCGTCCCCGAGCAGGCGCAGGCAGCTCCTGCGCCCCGAGCCCTTCCTGCCCGCTGAGCCCTCCCTTCAGGGCTGCCCCTCTCCCTGGCAGGCCAGCAGCGTCCCATCCGTCGGCCCCTCCAGGTCCTCAGCCCACCTCCACCTGGACTTGGCTTTTGTAACTCTGTCCCACAGGCTCTTCTTGGATCATCCACACCTTCATACTGTGCTTCTGATGTTTTTTTTTTTATTTGGTGGAACCGGGGATTGAACTCAAGTCCTTGTGCTTGCCAGAGAAGCGCTTATTCCACTGCGCCACCTCCCCGGCCCCTTTCCAGTGACTTCTGGGTTTACTTCACCCGGCTTCAAGATGGCATTGCGCTTTACAGCCGCTGCGCTACCTCTACCTCTGGCACCTCCCAGGGCATCTGTGATGCCACACTTTTCTTTTTGGAGACAGGTCTCCCTGTGTAGTTCAGGCTGGCCTTGAACTCACTATGTAGCCCACGCTGGCTGTCCTCCTGCCTCAGCCTCCCAAGTGCAGCAAAGACAGGCATGCGCCACCATGCCACTCTTGTATGTATTATCTCACGTGGTTTTCCTGCCCAAATCAGTTCCTTAAGGTTTTCATTCCCTAAGGTTGGCTCAATTTCACCGATGCTTGTGGCTTCTAGTATCATCCATACACGAGTCACTTTGAAAGTGTATTCTCTCCAAGCTCGTATCATGTGTATTTAAACGCCCACTTGCTATCTTCACTTGCATGCATCATAAATTCCTTGAACTGTTAGCTTCAGATGGAATGCCAGCTCACCAGAGATTTTTGCGGCAGCCTGTGTGTGTGTGTGTTACTGGGGACTGAACACAGGACTCTTGCATTGGCCTACATCCCCAGTCTAGCTGCCCAGGAAGACCCCAGCTGGCCGTCCTCCTGCCTCAGCACCTCCGAGTGCTTGATACAGGCAGGGCCACCACAGCCGGCTGTGGCTGTCTTGGGCAGTGTTTGCCTACGTGAAGAAGCCAGATATTTAGGGGTGTGCTTGGCTTCCCCGCTCAACCGATGACTAAGACTTGTCATCTTACCCTCTCCTCCTCGTGTGCGTATGCTTCTGCTGCTGGCTGTTGCCACTGTCCTGGATAGTCATCTTGGACCCTGTGAACCCCCTCGGGGCTCCTGTTCATGCTTACATAGGACGACCCAGCATAGTGCAAGTCCCGTCTTGGTATTTTCCAGCTTAGGATTTCTAGAACGCACGCTGAGATCCGGCTTCGCCTCCTTCTGCTCCCTCCGGCCTCCCTGGCCTTCAGTTTAGGCCTGGTTGCTCCGCAGTCTGCACCGTGCACGCAAGCTTTCTCCTCAGTGCTCACCCTAAAGGCTGTTTTCCTAGAGGTGCTCACCCTAAAGGCTGTTTTCCTAGAGGTGTGCTTCTGGGGCTTTAAACAGGACCACCTCTTGTGTGCGCCACGCCCCTTCACCTTCTCTACATTTACCTTTGATCAGACAATATGTATCATCAGTGGTTGGCTGTTTCCACAGTGAAGTGTACATTCCATGAAGGTGGAAACTGTCTAGGGAATGAACCGTTGATGAAATTTTCACAGAGCAGAGGGCTTATGCACTGGAAGAGTAAAGGAAAAATTTGAAGTAGCTTTGAATCTCAAGCAGTCACCCAAGTAAGTGCTGAGCGCTCGCTTGCTTATGTGTACCTGATTTAACGGGCTCTTCTATGGGTCAGCATGAGAGCCTTTCTTTAGTGTCAAATTCAGGGCTCTGATGCAAGAGTGTCCTTTAATTCTGTCAGGTTTCTGAGCTTAGTTGTTATAGCTATGAATCTTTGCACATGGGACAGGCTCAAAGGAATACAGGCCAGTTTCACTTCAGAGACTGAGACTTGTGGCTAAAGGTCTGACAGAGTCCACAGTTGTGCTCTGCTGGGCTGCAAAGGGTTGAAAACACCCAGAAGAGCCGTGACCTGTGGAGCCAGGACACATGGGCCACTTAGCCGGTGGCCAAGGTATTTGCTTACATACATGCATGACATATATGTTCTTCATTAAACTGTTTTGGCATTTATGTAGTATTTCTTGGAAAGAATCTCAATTTCTGATTTCTTTCCCCAAAACCTGAAAGATAGACCTGTGTTTCTAAGTGGTAATGGTGGAGTTGGAAGGGAATAGCTGTTCTCTCTGGATCTGGCAAACTGGAGAATATTTCTTTTTCCTGTGACCAGACCCATCCTGATTTGATTAAAAATCATTAAAACTATTAGTGAACACTTAACTCACTGCCCACTGTTGGGTGGCACTGCAACAGGATTTGGAAGTATTAGGCTGTTTGATTGGCTCAAAAATGCTTTTCCTCTCGGTCATTTTACAGGTAAGAAAGAGAAGCCCAAGTACCTAAGCGTGGTGGGGACACCATGCTGTAGGGTGCAGGTCCCCCAAGCAGGGAGTTAACTTTGTCTCCTAAGCTCACAACTGGCCACGGAGATGTGGGGAATGTAATTGAGGAATTGAAATTTTATTCACATTTAATCCACTTAGACCTAATAGCCACATGCAGCACTGGATCTAAGATGGTAGTTTGACCATTCAAAAGCAAAGAGATAAACGAGACAACAGCCCCATTTGAGTACAAGGCTAAAGCCCACAAACTTACAGAACAATGCCAAGCCGTTCTAAATCTTTTCTTAATGAAGTGAAGTATGTGGTTCAGGCTTTGGGTAACCTGTGTGGAAGGGGTGAGGGGAAGGCAGACTTCCCGCCGCAGGTGGCGCCATGTACAGTGGAGAACGCACTCCGTATGCTGCCCTGGGAGGATGAATTGTGTCATTTCCAGCCAACCCTGGCCTCTGCTGGCCACGGCCTTTTTTTTTTTTTTTTTTTTTGGTGGAACCAGGGATTGAACTCAGGCCCTTGTGCTTGCCAGAGAAGTGCTTATTCTGCACCATCTCCCTGGGCCCCACCACGGCCTTTCTAAAGCCAGTTTAGTAAGTGCTTAGCTCCACTACCCCTTCCAAAGTGCCTAATACAGAGCTTTCAATGATACTCTTATAGGCTGAGAAAAGTAACTAAACTGTTAATTCCATTAGGAAGTCCTGAGCCTGTCTGAATGGAAAGTGTTTTAATCTGGAGTTCTGAATCTCCCTGAGGGCCCAAGTAAGAATAAAGAAAATCACACTGTTTAAGCCTGGGGCTCTCAGCAAATGACCCCATGCCAGCTGCATATTACTAAGACATAATGTTCAGAAAGTGTTGCTTATGTTCTTGGAAGTAATAAACCTGCAGACTGGCGAAAGACTGCAGCACTAGCAAGCGTGACACGTGGGCAGGGCAGTGCGGAGGAACCCTGTTTCCTATTAGCAGGCTGGAGTGTGCAGACTGCCACAGCTTGTTTTGGATCTGTTGATCAAAGGATGAAGACAGCATTTGTTCTGCCACGTAACACCAGGCCACATACTGGTGGCACTGGGAGGTCTGGAGGCTCTGCAGGGTGGTGCGCTCCGTCACCCCCCATGTGGGAGGCTGAGGCAGGAGGACTGCCACAGGCTTGGGGCCAGCCCAGGCCACACAGTGAGCTTAAAGACAGCCTGAATTACACAGCGAGACTGTCTTAAAAAAACAATCAAACCAACAGTTGGAGCAAGTAACAACAAAATAAAAAGGGACTTAAAAGCTTTTGGACAACGTCATGCAGGGGGAAGAGTGAATGCTGAGCAGAAGGGGCCTCAACAAATCCACTCTGTAAACTGGTGATCTTCTCCGTCACTGCTATCTGGCCCACAAGAAGAGTTCAGGAAATGAGCAGGTTGAACTTGTCGTTCTGGATGCAGTGAAATAAACGCATCCTTTAAAGGCTCCTAACATTCTGGTCAGCAGTCTAGATTAAATTTGTGCGAAGCATTTTAAGGTAGTATGAGAGTTTTAGGTAAGATTTAAGAGTAAAGAATGTATGCAATGTGTGTGTTATTGAAACTGTCCTACCAATTTGGTTTGAAACCACCTCATTGCTATTTGTTTCTCAATAAAATTATGGAAAAAAAAAAACCCAAAAGATTTAAGTGCAAGAGTGAAAGACAGATGTGGTTAGTACCTGTGACTCCCAGCATTCAGGGGCTGAAGCAAGAGGCTGCTCCCTGGGACTGAAGTTGTGTGCCACTGCGTTCAACTTTAAAGGCGTGTTTGAAAATAAAAATTTTCATGATACAGAAAGGTAGTACTACAACCAGTTTGTATTTCATTTTATGAGCCGAAGCAGTTTATAAGACATCAGGGACTGTTTGTGTGCTAATACATTGGTACCAAGACTCACTCAGAAGCTTGTGCTTGCCAGGCAGGTGCTGGACTGCTGAGCTATCGCCCTGGTTGAAGCCTGCCAATATTAGTAAATTTTTGTGCATATTTGGTACAGGGTATCATTACGCAGCTTAGACTCTTGGTGATCCTCGTTTTCAGCTCCCTCGCCAACTGGGATTACAGGCGTGTACCACACACCACACCCAGATTTGGGCCCCTGGCTCAGTGTTCCCTGGGGGGAAGGGCCGGTGCAGCATGCGGGACTGGGGATTGAACCCTGGTCCCTGCTCTTGCCAAAGCAGGCGCTTAGTCTGCTGAGCTATCTCGCCAGCCTAATAATTCATTTCATTCATTATTTTCCTTTCAGCACACCGAAGAACACTGAGGCAGAAGAGGATTCTGTTAGCAGCAGTGAGGACAATGAAGATGGGGTTCTAGCTAACAGTCTTAGATATAGGAAGCCACCTTCAGCTGGACCCCAGCCTGCAAGGGTACCAGCGTCCATCTCCAGAGACCAACACAAACATAAAAATAGGAACCACACTGCTCGTGCTGGGCAAGAAATGAATGGTGATGCGAGGACTCACAGGCTGCAGGAGGTGATACAGGGGGAGCCAGATGACGGCCCCTCTTCCTCGGCCTCCTCTGCGTCAGATGCACTTTGGCTGGAGGACGGCGCCAAAGCTGAGAAGGGTGAAGGTCAGCCAGGACAAGTGGGCCCAGCAGCGCGCTGCCCATCTGTGGTAGCATGGCGCCTGTCTTGAGGACACCCAGGTTGCTCCTCACCAGCGCAGCCTTGTGGGCTCCTGAGAGTAAGGGCGCCCTGAGAAGCGCGGAGGCCACAAGTGTGAGGTGCAGGACTTGCAGGGCCCGCAGGTCTCACAGAAGCAGCAATAAAAGAGCACTGCTGTTCAGAGCTTTTCTCATCTTTTAGAAAATGCAGTACAGGACCCAGTACCTGAATGTTTGAACACAGAACTTCAGTTTGAGGGAAACACCAGTTTTACCTGGATATTTGGTCTTTTTTGGTGAAACTTCCATGTCCTACTTAAGACAAAATGGCAGCTGGGCCGTAGCATATCTGTGGTCCCAGCTGCTCAGCAAGCCTGAGGCCAGCCAGGGCAGCCTGCAAGACCCAGTCACACAAGTGAGGAGGGCCGGGGAACGTAGCCCGGTGGGAGGCCTCCTCCGGGTCAGTGCACGCGCATCGGGGCTGTCGCTGTGCGTCTCGCTGCTGGGTGGCTGTGCCAGCTCGGTAAATGCGTGGCTGCCTCCCAGGGTGGGTTTTCAGTCATTTTATTAATAAAAAGACCAGCACGAATGATTAGGTCCATTCGTACCACCAGTGGTACAGGCCATTGGATGGGAGCGCACATGCGCCACTGGGGCACAAGCTGGCAGCAACATGTTCAAAAGACGACAGGAAGTTGTACTGTTACTTTGAATGTCGGGTTGATACAGTTAGCTACTCAGGAAAGACAGTTTTTTCTTGCGGTACGGGGGACTGAATTCAGGACCCTGTGCTTGCCAGGCAAGCACTTATTCTACTGAGCTCTCTCCCTGGCCCAGGAAAGACAGTATTAAAACAAGTGGAACTAGAAGGAGAAAAAAACCCCTGCCACTGTGAAGATAAATCTGACATAAAATGAAGTACGTGAACCAAATCAGGTATCCTTATAAATTATAAGGAACTGTTCAGAAATAATTTGGGTTTTTTTGTCCTTTTGAGGCAGGGTCTTGCTATGTCGCACAGGCTGGTCTTGAACTCCAAACAACCCTCCTGTCTCAGCCTCCCCAGTGCTGGGATTACAGGCATCCACCACCACGCCCAGCTCCTGATGTTTCTTAATTGATAGTGGATTTAATCAATTAGTATATCCTTGTCTCCTTGAAAATATCTAAAACAAAGGTCTCAGCATGTAACAAATGTTGCTGATTAACTAGGAAAAATGTAACAAAAACATTTCAACAGAACATTTTATTGACTCTCAGGTGGGAGCAATTATCGGCATTTATACTCTTAAGATATTTTACCTAAGGAGAACAAGCAGTGTCACACTAAAGGCTCCTGATGGCTGCACTTGCCGCTCGGCCGGCCAGCCAGGACGTCTGGCTCCCTTGCATCACAGTTCATCGACGAATGGCGTGTGCTCCAAGTTTCCACTTGCTGCCATAGACTTCTGGCCAGAAACAAACTTCTTTGCGGCCTTTAGATAAAGGAATACAGAAAATTAAAAGAAATAGTATATATCATCAAGCAGACATTTCAAGACTTTATGGGCAGGGCCAGGGATATAGCTCAGCAGCACAGCGCTTGCCTGGCAAGTGCAAGGTCTTGAGTTTGATTCCCAGCACCAAGGGAAAAAAAAAACAAAACCCAAACAGACTAGACTTTATGGATAAAACTCTCTCTGCCAGCACTTCTTCAGCAGTCTCTTGTGAGAATCACTGTGAGATGGCCATGCTTTCTTTTATGTGAATCTGAACACTCCACCCGATGTGCGACCAGCACCTGTGGGAGAGTGGTTCTCTAGACGAGAGGGCAGCTGCTGAAGGGTGGGTGGACAAGGGGACCTGGGGCTCTGCAGGCGGGGCGGGTGGACAAGGGG